CTTTCCCTAGCCAGCTCTTCAGCCCCGCGTGCTTTCAGTGCTAATTAATTTTCAGTGTCCTTTATCAATCTTCGCGGAGATTGACCCCTGCCTCGCCTTCCACAAAGTGCACTCTCTATCGCCGTCTTTTCCAAGCCACAGTGACGTTTGATGTGGCCAAAATACTTCAACTTTCATAACAGGGTGCTGTTTGTGAGCCAGTTCTCCTTGATGTTTAACTCGTGTAGAATGTCGATGTTTTTTTTTTTTTTCTCCCTACTTGATCTATGGTATTCTGAGAATTTTTCTGTAGAGAATGCTAGAGGGGGTAAAAGAGAAGTGGGTTTGGGGAGGTGGATATGAAGGTTGAATTCCTTATAAATTGTGTAAAGGTGGTAAGCGGCTCCTTTAACCATGCATAAAACCACGGCCAGCTCCCCCCTCCGCTCCTCTGATGCAGCAATACCCTCTCAGAATCAAAGAGTTAGCACTGATATTTCTTTACTTTTGCTGGAACAACTTTTAGTTTACATCTAAACGTTATTGATGTTTATGTTCCTGCTGACTGTAGCAAAAGCATTTTTGTTTGTCTGTAAGAGCCTTTATTGTTATATTTAAATAGCACACTTATTTACCTTAAAAATGACGTATAGTTCTAAAAAATATGTCGAAAATTAATGAAACTGTAGTTTAATTTGTGAATTCATCTCCTCGATAAAAACTGTGGACGCAGAGGGACTCAATTCTTGCACAAGAACAGGAATTCCCGTTCAAGCAGTACGGCCTTATAAATCTGGAGCTGGCCGTGCATAAAACAAACACGTTCAACACCACCATAACCGCACAACAAGCGATAAACACACGATGACATAAAGTGCCACCATTTGGATGAGAATCTCCCGAATGCAAGTTCTAGAAACCCCTTTCATCCCGCAGGTTTTATTTCGGGCGCCTAACCGGGATGAGGCTATAAACTTTATTTAAAAAATCGTCCCCTATATTTTTAATTATTTTTTTTTTTTAAATAAAATATTTAAAGCTAAATGAAATGCACCAATTTAACTTTTTTTTTTAAATATACATTTATATTTATTTACCATTCGGCCCGTTAATATTTTTATTACGTACTTAAACAAGACTTAGGCTAAATCTTTTCTCTTTTTCACGTTCACCGGCTGTAAACTTTGGCGGAAAGTTTAAGTTGTTCTTCGACTTGTGGATTTCATTCACTCTTATTCTAGGACTGCGTGTTGCGTGTACATTTATTTTACAGATATGACTTATTTGTGTGCAGACTGTTGGTTCCCTGCCTCTCAGACCGATGCACTCTGACTTTAAAGAAAGCCCCTAATTAGTCGACTCTTACGAAATATTTGTTGCGGAGGCTATGCTTCCATTCTGGTTTTCCCCACACTGGGACCCTGGAGCCCACAAGGGGACTTGAGCTTATTAAGGGCACCAGCAAATTTATAGGGGGATTGGGTCCCGCCTTCGTTGAGACTCTCCACCATCTCCTTTTCTTTCGTGTCGGCGCCTCTAGTGGTAATCATTACCTATCATGACCTAGCAAAATTACACTGGACGTTGTTGATTAAATTGTTGATACTAAGTTTATTTATTTCTAGTGTTATTTTAAAGTATTATTTAGAGGGCTCACATCTTTCAGTACAAACTGCCTTGTCTATCTGGTATATGCTTATCAAACAGTGTGTATATTCAGATAATTTAAGATTATTAATTACACAACAGGCAACTGAATGTTAATATGGATATATTTGCATAGCCTGATGTACTAAATCAAAATATGTACCATACTGGAAGCATACTTAAAAAAACATTTTAATCAGCCCAGCGTCTTTTTTGCCACTACTCTGGGAACTTATCCAGACTTGTCGCTCTGTCGGCCCCAGTCCTTAAAATCCCACAGAAGAAGAAGAAGAAGAAGAAGAAGAAGAAGAAGAAGATGATGATGATGATGACGACGATGATGATGATGATGATGATGATGATGATGATGATGATGATGTTGATGATGATAGAAAGAGGAAGATAAGAAGAAAGAAAGAAAGAAAGAAAGAAAGAAAGAAAGAAAGAAAAAAGAAAGAAAGAAAGAGAAAGAAAGAAAGAAAGAAAGAAAGAAAAGAAAGAAAGAAAGAAAGAAAGAAGAAAGAAAGAAAGAAAGAAAGAAAGAAAGAAAGAAAGAAAGAAAGAAAGAAAGAAAGAAAGAAAGAAAGAAAGAAAGAAAGAAAGAAAGAAAGAAAGAAAGAAAGAAAGAAAGAAAGAAAGAAAGAAAATGAAGAAGAAGAAGAAGAAGAAGAAGAAGAAGAAGAAGAAGAAGAAGAAGAAGAAGAAGAAGAAGAAGAAGAAGAAGAAGAAGAAGAAGAAGAAGAAGAAGAAGAAGAAGAAGAAGAAGAAGAAGAAGAAGAAGAAGAAGAAGAAGAAGAAGAAGAAGAAGAAGAAGAAGAAGAAGAGAATAATGAGCAACAGAATAAGATGAAGAAACAGAAAGAGGTGAAAGGAGGAGGAAAGGGAGTATGATGAGGAGACAACAAAGATCAGGATAAAAAGCAGTCTATCCCACTAGAGCCGGACAGAGAATGTTCAAGACTCCTGCAGCAGCCATGTCTCACTGTAAAGTCGGCATTTGATCAAATACTGCATTATTCAATGATGAGCCGGTTAACGTTTCTGTGTACTTGCTATTATTGATGTATACATACTTTTATACTCCTCTCCCCTCTCCCCTTTCCGATCTACACAATATCAGAACAGTGTCTTCATAATCATCATCATCATCGCCATTCCTGTTGTGCTTCATATTAAAAACGGTGGTGTGTCCAATATAGTGCCATCTTATATGAGTTGTTTATCTTGTGCTCTACGTGTTGTGGGTTCGTTTCGTTGCTCCGCCCTTTAGTTAACTACATTTTTTAACAGAGGTCAATGTGGATCGTCACCGGGGCTACAGAGTTCGTGCTTTGTGCGATGCTCTCGACAAGCTGTCTGCATGGAGAGACCAAGTGATATGAGATAAACCGCGGTGCAATGGAGTCGATCTTTTCGACATTAACTGCTGTACCAGTGGTTTCGCAGACGTTTCGCTTTTTTTTTTTAAACTTTATATTTTCCTCTGGCATTTTCCCAACATATTCAACTTTCGATCCATTTTGTTAGTGGCACTACAGCTTTCACTAGCATATGTTAATATTTAAAAAACATTAGAATTTAAAATACGCAGTTTGCTTTCAGAAGTTTACAGTTTAGAGTTGCATATTTTGTTCTGGCTTGTAAAAAATGACGCTGCCTTGCCAGTATGTGTCATTATAAGTGTACGTAAAAATTGGTCCGTCCCTATGTGGGACGCGATTTTTCGGTAATTTAAAGCCCCACACTGTTTGTTGCCGACGGCTCTAATATAACTCAATCTATTGGTTAAACGGGGTTTTTGGGACCGGTCCCCGGGTGATCTTCATCCGAATGGTGCCACTTTGTGTCACCAGGTGATTATCGCTCTGTGTGATGTCCTGGTGTGGTAAAACGTCAGTCAGTATGTCATAATTTACTTGTGTTTGCCTCCTTGACTATTAGAATTACTACCTATACAGGTAAATTAATCGTCTTCTGCTTCTTCAGTATTCTGAGCCCTCGAGGTTCATTGCTGCAGATATCACCCGCCTCCATTCATCTCTCTAGTCGGCCCTCTCTTTCTAGTTGGTGACACCAAGTGTTTGCAGGTCTGGATATGATCTCTTCATCGTCTTCTTGGTCTGCCTCGTGGTCTACGACCATTCATCTCCCTGGTGTATACAGTTTTTAACTTCTCTGTCATCTGACATTCTTTCAAAATGTCCCATCCATTTAAGTCTATTAGCTCTCATGATGCCAGTGATCAGTGGTGATTTAAAAAGATTATGAATTTCGTTGTTGCTTCTCACTCTCCATTCACCGCTGTTTGCATCTTTGATGGGTCCAAAGATTCGTCGTAAGACTCTGTTTTCGAAAATACGTAATAAGGCTTCATATCTTTTAGTTGTGCTCCAAGTTTCAGAGCCATATAACACGACTGGTCAAATCAACGTTTTATATATTTTGATCTTGGTGTTGCGAGATAGCCACTTTGACTTTAGCGGATGTTGAAGGGCATAGTATGCTTTATTTCCAGATTGTATTTCTTCTCTCAGCATGTTGGAGCAGTTGAAGTTTGCACCCAAGTACTTACATGTTTCCGTTCGTTTCATTTTCCTATTATTGATTTGTATATGGCCAGAGTTTATATCCTTTCCCTGTCTAGTTATTATCATGTATTATGTCTTATCTTGATTGATAACTAATCCCAATTTCTGAGCTGATTCTTTTAATTAAGACAGTGTTTTAACAGTCTCTAGTTCATTTTCTTCAACGATATCACAGGTAAATTATCTGTTACTTTAATTCTTGTTATCTCTAGTGTTACAAAGTTTAATCTGTTATTGGTGTCTTCAAACATTTGTGTTTTCATTACTTATTTGAAAACTGTTGATGCTATATTTGCTTATCATAGTTCTCTTGTGCTAGTATTTTCACACATGGCTCGTAGTCGATTCCCTCATTCCGTTCTAATTTAATCATCATACACTATATTATTTAAAGTTTCATCATCTAATTAAATTGTAACTTTGATTTCCTGGATTGGAATAAATAGCACAAAAGGTAATATAAATTTAGTCCCAGGTGCATGAAGTTGTCCCCATGTGGAATGCAATTTTTTTGTTATTTTGAAGCCACAATCCGGTTTTTTCCGGGGGGCCGCAATATAGCCTGAACTCGGTTTCTAGGATCTCCCCACGGGTGTTCCTCGTCCGCTTGGTGGCACTTTGTGTCACCGGGTGTTTATCACACTGTGTCATGTCCCAGTGGGGGTAAAGTTTACTTACTTACTAGTCCCAGGTACACTAATTACGTTGATGGAGGAATTAGTTCCCCTATAAGAAGTCATCTATGTTGAAGGGCACCGTCAGTACGGTCTGACGTCACTTTAGAAGATGGCGTACATCTTGAGATCAGCGGCCCGTAAGGTAAACGAATCTAACGAAATATAACATTCTTTACAGTATTTGCTCAATCAACTTGCTGAACAGATGTAATTTGTTATGTAGTAATGAAATAAGTACGCTTATTTTTTAATTAATCGAATAGTAGAAGTTTAATAATTGCGAGACTAGTTCAAACATCTGAAGGTCATTTTCATGATGGGAGTTTTTCTTGCCTGCACTGCTAGTTCTTTTTTGCGTAATTTGAATTATAATTATATTCTATAGTTTATTAAACAAAGTTTTTAGAACAACATTTAGTTATCAGAAAGCAGCTCACTATTATAAAACAGATGCTTCGGTTTGGTCACCAGTGCGGGGCAGCATTTGACTCATTTGTTTTTTTTATTTTACCACCAGCACCACATCTTGCAATTGGTAGATACTTTAGTCAAATTTTTAAAATGCCCTCTACACCAATAAAACCAGCACAGTTAGATAGCTGTAAACAATCTCTTTCCAACGGTACCTCATTTAGGCTTGTATGTCATTTCTGAGCTGAGATATGTAGGTTTTTGTGGAGATGAGATGTAGAAAGCAGCTGCTAAAACTTGTCTTAGAAACAAGGTTTTCTCTGCACAACCAAACTGCGCACTTATCGTTTTGGCTTTGTTTACATTGGACTGTCATTGGACAAGATGGCAGACAATGAGACACAGCCACTGGCTGAGCCAGCGATTGCCTGAAAAATGTCACTGTACATCTACCTAGCCACTGATAAGAAAGAAATTTTACATACAAATGTAAAATTGGACGGAGAATTCAATTATAACTAGCATTACCAGGACCAGTAACAGTTAAAGCCTAAAGCCAACCCTGAATACTTATCGCTATTTTCAATCAAACTGATGTAACAGAAAAACAGAGGACATCCGGCTGTCGTACACATGCGCTGTTAATCGGGTTCCTTTCCGCCGTTTTCGTCTTTTTTTAGTGGGTGAAAATCACACCAATCGCAAAATTTCATGAGAGATTAGGACCCATCCCGAAACCCCAGCCAACATTTGCGAAGCAAGTTTCGAACGGTTTCCATGGTAACGAAAAATTGCCAAAAGACCGCCAATTGCCGAACACCGTAGTAACTACAATTGGCATTCCTCACATTTGTCTCCAGTTTTTATAATATAAATATCCTAGTATTCCCTAGGTGTTGAACTCCTAGACCACCGAGAAGACAAGCAGACATGTTCTCTGCTTCTTTAACGTCAGACACGCACAAACAGTTACAAAGATTGTGTTGCTAAATTTATAAATCTGGAAAAGTTTTCTACTTATTCTATGCAAAGAAAAGTAATCCCTAAATACAAACATTACAGAGAGTTAACTGATTTTTCCTTCCCTTTGACCATTTAAAAGTGGTTTTGGTCACTTTGGCAAAGGGAGCAATGTGACGTAAAAATACAGTTATGTGACGTAAGCATGAATCCACAGTTTAAACAATCTTATTCTTTCATCCAAATAATGTGAGAAACAAATTTTGGTACACTGTGTAGTTGTAGCCAGTATCCAAGTTAATTTCTAGTCGTTCCCAAGTGACTGCAATTTTTCAGTATTTTGAAGCCCTCACCCTGGCTTTTGCCGGGGGCCCTAAATATGGCCTAACGGTTGAACAGGGTTTCCTAGACCTCTCCACAGTTGATCCTCATCTGCATGGTGGCACCTTGTGTTGCCTGGTGTTTATCGCTTGTGTGATGTCCTGGTGGGGTATAACTTACCTACCTGCCTAGTACCCAAGCTGTCATGCAGGCTTAATGGGCACTGTCCAAATTCACCATATAAACCAAAACCTGTAAAAGCCTAAAAAGTGTTCTCGGGACAGCAGTGTTAAATGGGTTTAAACTTACTTACACGGATAATTGGCATTCGGTGTAAAAACGTTATTTGTATTGTTGTCGTGACTAATAATTTCTTAGAGAATATGTCATTATAAATGGTTGGATTTGTTGTTTTTCAGGGTATTGATATTCTTGGGCATGGGTCACCCCGTCATATACATGCAACTTCCTATGTTGCTGCACAGGCCGTAAGTAGAAGCACCATAATTTAAATGCTTGTCTTAGTTATTAGAAGAAAGATTGATCATATTTATTTGTCTCAAGTTTTTATTTTTAACATATTGAATATTGTTTGACCATCTCAGCATAGAATTCCAACTGTAAAAAGTTTGTTGTCTTTAACGAGGATTGTGCTATAATATATATTTTTGCCCCAAAAATCCTTTGGAGGGAGAAAAGTGCAGAATTCCGGGCAACAATCCTCCCTCCCCTTAACCCTTAAATAAACACAAGTCACTAATAATACATTTTAAAAATGTGTTTACGTTACACATTTGTTAATAAGTGAAAGGGAGTAATCAATTAAAAACAAACGGAGCAGAAATGGGCCTGAAATTAATTCATACAATTACTCATACTGTGACGTCATGGCCCTGATTACTAAAAGCTAAAGGGGAATTATGATGTTTTAATGACGTAAACATTTTAACAATAAGAAAACTCCCAGTTGAATTGTATTTTCAGTGAAGAATCAATCCTGGCTTCCTAAACATTCCGCAGTCACGATAACAACTTTATGGTATCTTTGCATCAAAAGATATTTTTATTTTGTATTTTGGGAAGGTGTAAAATTATGCTAATTTAAAATGTGTAAGTGCTGCTGGACACTAATAATGAATTTAATTTGTTAGGTTCCAATGAGTCGCTTTGAAACAGACAGATACGTTGATTACGACAAACTGCAACACAATGTCAAAATTGTCAAGAACAGGTTTGTGGCTTTAATTTTGATTAGTGATCCATTATGACCGCTGTAATATTAATATGTGAGTCATAGGTTTGAATCTTTATCTTCCATGTGTGGGTTTTAGGGGGGGGGGGGGGGGGGGGGCTGCTGTCACCTAAGATGTATTTTGTAAAAGTCGACTATATAATATTGCTGAAATTGCATGTGTCAGGCTGAAAGATGCAGATATCACAGCCTATCTGTAAACCACACCATATTCCATTCATCTTTTTAATGGTGAACGGAGAAGAAGATTCTGCATGTGAGTGTATGAGTAATAAATGACCTAATCTGCAGGGTTGACCCAATTTCTTTACCAGTTGTAAGCTGTGGCAGAAAGTCCTGGTTGTTTCTCCATTTGGACCTTGGCTTTGTGCCAGGGCCTGAGTTTTGCATGTACATCCTTTTTTACTGGCTTATTTGTGGGCAGCTGGTTGTCCTTTGCCTCTCGGGCAGATGCACTCGTGACTTTAAAGGATGCCACCAATTAGTCAACTCCTATGACATGCTTGTTGGGGAGGTAGTCGGTCTGTTCTTGTTTTCCCCACAGTGGGGCCCTGAAACCCACACAGGGCGACCCAGTTTAAAATGGTGACTAGAAAATGTCCTGGAAAGTAAAGGTGGCGGGCATAATATTCACCACATTACCCATGGAGAGCCCAGGTAGGACTGGCACCATATACCTGATGTGCTACTACAGTGGTTTTCAACCTGGGAAAAAAAGGGGAAGAGAGGGGGCATGCAAGGAAGTTTAAAGAGGGTGGCAGTCAGTTTTGACATTGAGTGCATTTGTACTTGTCATCATCTATTATGCTGACCATGTTTTTTTTCCAGTTTAGTTATACATAAAATATTTTAGAAAAACTATTTATAAAGCAAAAGGTCACGGGTGTTATGTTATTTTGGTACTTTGATTTATGTGGCAAACTTTCTTTAAAGTTCTTGTTAATGATATGTGAGATTTTTCTTTTTGTCTTTCTCTTTTTAATCACATTTTGTTTTCAAAGTTGGGAAGGAGAGGGTATTGAGGGTAATAGAACCTGAAATAAAAAAAAAAAAACAGTGTGCTAGTAATGTAAGAAGGGTCCTTAATTAGCCATTTTCACAATTTGAGGTGTATTGTCCATATCAGTGATTCCCAAACTGTGCACCCCGGGGAGCCGCGACCTCTTCACAGGGGGGCCGCAAAATATTTTAAAAGCTTCATAATTAATTTAACCAAGACATTTGGTCTAACTAAACAAAAACGCGAGAAGCTAAAATTATCCCGATTTTGTTGTTGTTGTGTGATTAGTTTTTATCTCTTACTTAAGAATGGTCATACTTCTACTTAGGTGGAAAAATTTTAATTGAAGAAAGGCCCAGCGACTAAGAAAAGTTTGGGAAGCACTGGTCTGTATGGTCCTGAGCAGTATTCATCTATACCAGTCAGCTCTTGTTAGTTGATATGGTTAACATTTTGCTAGCCGCCTTCATTTGGCAGACAGTGTCCTGGTGTACATTTTAGGCTTAGCTGACCAAAGAGGCCTTTTCCGCTTGCAGACAGGAGCCATGGACTCATACTCATTCATGTAAGAAAAACAGCGGAGCTTTTGAACTGGAATGCTACAGACAAATTTTTAGAATACAATGGACAAAGAAAAAAAATTGCCACATCCTAAATGTTCTGAACATAGAGTAGAATTGGCTTATAAATAGCATCCTGTCCCGAAAGTTGAGCAATTTTGGCCAGTATAAACGTCAGGTGGCCTGGAGAGAGAGGAGTGATTGGCCGAATGGTTAGAACGCTGGGCTCTCAAGCAGGAGGCACGGGTTCAAATCCTTGGTAAGGCTGAGAATTTTTCTGTCGGGGTCAAAATAAAACCCTAAAAGTCGTGGCGACAGCACTAGCCATGCGGCCGTAAATCTCAGGCTCAAGACCCCCATGCCTACACTGCAAAAGTGGTTGTAATAAAGGCAGTAATTGGCAGATTTGACCTGGAGAGAATGATGACGGAGGGTTCAGTGTCTGGGAAATGTGGCAGAAGCAGACTCTCACGAAGGTGGATACAAGACGTTGAAGAGGCATTGGCATGAAAGCACGTAGGTCTCGAGAATTGGCTGGAGAGTGGCATTCTGTATAGGGCATGATGATAACTCACACACAAAAAATTCATCGCTGCTTTATTAGTGATTTGAAGAAGGACCACCAAGCTGACAAGAAAACACTGTGCTGACAGAATTCCCCCAGATGATAAAAAGTAACTGCACCAGCATATTTATAAAGTATATCTTGAAAGAGGTGATGGCTCGAAGACAACTTATCACCAACATCAGAAAGAGGCAGTCATCGTCATGTTTTGGCCATGCTATGAGAAGGAAACAGCCTTTTCTCATGACATGGAGGGGTGTCAACACAGTCACACGAACTTATATACGTAGTTGTAGATTGTGGAGAGGCATGATTGCCAACTCTAGTTGATGAGGCACTTCATGATGATGATATCTTGCCTATGCATATGATAGTCCAGGAAAGACATCAGCGTTAATATCTGAATAAACTTGGTCATTTGCAAAGCTGTGTCCCCAGAAACTCTATATACCCAACCCCGTTATAAAGTTAACTTATATAATTTGTTAATTATATCTCTTTGCATTAATTTTTATATTATCCACTATGTGCCTGAAGAAGTTAGATATGTGAGCCGAAAGGCAAATCTCACAGCTATGTTGTAAACAGGCACAGTGCATTTGCGTCACTCAGACAAACAATGAAGAAGATTATTCACTCAAATTTGTCTAAATACTAAATGCATGAATGCTTTTAGCTCTATTTTTTTTTTTTTTGAAAGTCGAGTCCTGTTGGCAATAATTAGAAGAAGAAAGAAAGAGCATCTGTAATTATTGACCATATGAGTATTTTTAGCTGTTTCTTTTAGTTTTTTGTTAACTCTTTTTTGTTTAAAGTTGCATCCTTTTGATTCTGTTAGGTGTAATTAGTGAATGGTGTCAATAATCACTTGTTAATACCTGTTAATTGTTTTTAGACTTGGCCGGCCGCTGACACTTTCGGAGAAAATTTTGTATGGCCATTTAGATGACCCCCAAAATCAGGTATGTGAATCATTGTATTTATTACATGTCAAAGGCATGCAAGATTCCCTTAATAGATACTAGCATAGTTCACAATACATAGGTCACAACAAGACAAAGTGGATTGATTGGTCAACTCTTTTTTTCCAGTCTTTATTTCCCTGATAAATCTCTTATAGATGTTTTTTTTGAAGCTGAATAGATCCATGAAGCATGCTCGTATATTGATTTCATCTGTCATTCTATCTGCTTTTTCTGCTATGGTTTTATGGCTTTATCAGTAAGTGTGACAATAAATCTTGTCTGATTAAAAGGCAGTAAACTTTTAAAATAATGTTTTAATTTGTTGAATTTGTTACATGCTTGCTGTAAATAGTTCAGGAGTATACATGCTTGCATCAGTGTGTCTCTTTATCTCCTCTCCCTCCCTTACCTGTGTCATTTTTTTTGCGTATGTTAATTTCATTACAATAATTTAACAAAATGGGTACAGGATACAGCTGTTAGTTAGATCTGTGATTTTGAAATTTATGAATGCAACATTGTTTTCTTATTGAGCTTCAACTCTTTGGTTTAGTTTTGTGTTGCTTTAGTTTTCCCACTCACGCTGAAGCTACTTTCTAAAATTCAGTTTTGGTTGATAACCCGAGGTTATTGAGGGCTCTGTATCCTATTGCAGTAATATTCAACCTCAACGCAGATAACCCCTCTAGTTGATCAACCAATATAAAAATATATAGTGCAGTCATCAGGTGTGGGAGACTGACAGTTGTACTTCCATGTATATGATTGCATACATTAAGATCTAACAACTTGTTATTCATGTTAGATTAGTAAAAAAAAACTTATCGTGGGGGTTCTGGGGTCCCTATTATCGGAAAATCAAGAATAGACCCACTGCCTACCCAGAAGCATTTTGTAAGAGTCGACTAATTGGGAGTTTCCTTTGAAGTCGGAGTGCATCTGCCTGAGAGACAAGGAACCAACAGTCTGCATATAAATGAGTTCCATCTATCAAACGGATGCACACGTAACACTCAGGTTCTAAAACAGGACTGCAGTCTAGAAGTGGACGAACAACCAGAACTTTCCGCTGGAGTTTACGTGAGGAAGAAGATTAGGAAAAGTAATCCACAGCTGATAACACTCTATCTACTCCATTAGCATAACATTACATCTCCCTGTTTACAGCGCAGTGGCTAGACAGTTGCCTTCCAGTCCATAGGTCTTGGATCTGCAGGTCTGTTCTTGTTTTCCCCCACAGTGGGGCCCTGGAACCCACACAGGGACCTCCATGTATATGATTGTATACATTAATGGTTAGCAAGTTCAACCATGTTATCTAATGTTCAGAGGAAATAAACTGTAGAATCAAAGTTCCACAGAAAGGTATCTTGCATTTGGATTTGCTGATTAGAGTTGGTAATAGTGTCTCTTGACATATCTGAACTCTGGTATAATTTATGATTTCATGTTCTGACATCTTTGTATAGTCTATTACTAGTCTAGCAAGTTTGCCTTGTCTGTCCAGGAGAGAGTCTAACATATGACATGTAAAAACTAAGACTTCTCTCTAGTAGGAAAAATACTACACAGCATGATAACAACACCTTCCTCCATTAGCATAACATTACATTTCCCTGTTCATGGCCCAATTGCTACACACTTGCCTTTCAGCCCATAGATCTTGGATTTGCATCTGCATTTGTGGATTAAAAAAAAATGTTGACTGTTAGGTTGACCCAGCCCAAAATGGGTACCAAGAAATGCCCTAAGAAGCAAAGAGCCAACAATGTGATGTTAATCACATTAGCCTGCAACCGCCTTACTTAGAAGCATGTCATAAAAAAAAGTATATTAATTAGAGGTGTATCCTTCAAAGCCAGAGTGCTTCTGCCTGAGAGGCAAGGAACAAACTCTTAAGCCACATCTGTAAAATGGATGTGCACACAAAAATCTTATTTTGGAACAAAGCTAAAGTCCAGAAATAGACCAACAAGCAGAATTTTTCTTCAGAATTTACAGCCTATCAGCGCCAAGAAGAAAAAAAATTGATTTAGATGGCAAAGCCTGTGACATTGTCATTTATTTTTTATTGTTCTTTTACTGTTAGCTTATGACATGATAAATGTGAATATATTACTGTTTTTGTTGTGTTTACTCATATATATCACTTGACTTTCAAGGATATTAAAAGAGGTGATAGCTACCTCAAACTGAGACCCGACAGAGTGGCCATGCAAGATGCCACTGCACAGGTAATTGCATGTTTGTTTCTTGTCTGTGTTACTTTTTTTAAATTAACCAAATCCAGATATGCAAAACATATATGCGTGTTAATTACTCATATGAATGCCTATAAAAAATGTTAATTTGTGCTGTCTATTTTAAAAGATAAACTTAATTGTATACAATTTAATCGTGAAGATGGCATTGGTCTTAGAGAGAGGCTTATGGGCAGTGTAATTAAAACAAGGTGAAATCATAGTTGACCCCAGAAAGCTTTCTGAATTTTACAGACGGATTACAGATGCTTTCTGTTAGGTATTGATGGACTGAAGTATGTTTACAACCATATGTTACGTAAACTGAGTATTTGTTCACGATATTGTGCTGGTTGATAATCTGAGGTCATGCAGGGCGCTGTATTGTATTACAGTGGTTTTCAACTTCGACGCAGATTGTCCCCATGTGTTATCAACCAACAGAAATTCATAACTGCAGTCATCAGGTGTGGGAGACTGAGAGTTGTCCTCCCATGTATATGATTGCATACATTACTAATGTTAGCTTGCCTGTCATGTCCTTGTGGTATTTTTTATAACTTTGATTTAGTTATTATTAAAAATTATATACACATATATTTTATTAACTTCTCATTATGTATAGAATATATGACTATAAAAGACATTTATTATTTTCTGGACAAAATGGTGCTGGTGAAAAGGGGGGTGGGGGGTGGTGACTGACCAGAGTATGTCGCCAACACTGTCCTCTTAGAAAAAAGGCAAGGTGGACATATAATCAAACTACTACCGGGGTACCAGCCTCAGTGAAACTCTGCTACCTTCTGAATATGGGGATTTGGCGCTAATGGGATGACCCTAGTATGGTGATATCATTTCTTAATAGCTGTACAGATTTTTAAACAATAGTGGGAAGACTGCTAAACAGATAGGCATGAATGAGGTCATCTGCTTCTTTGATACGTTGGGTGACTAAAATTTTAAAACTATTAATATGTCACAAAATGTCTAAATCCGGTAAAGGTTCCTTTCTCTATAAAGGGAAGTAATCTTTGAATACTGACACAGCGGAAAATTAACAACATTTCTTGTCTTTATCATCTAAAATTGCTTTTGGTCACTTCTCCACAAAGAGCAATATGACCCAGTTTTGCAACTGTGTGATGTCATGGCTACCTGACATTTTTTTTTTTAAGAAATCTTTTTTCACCCTAAATAATATATTTAGAAATATGTTTGGGGTTAGTATAATTTTACACACTATGTCTACACGCTATAACTTGCCACCAGCACCGAAGCTGTCATACAGGCATAGTGACAACGACCAAAAACATTTTGCCCTGAAACAGCCCCAGATTTTTGCATTTACAGGGCGACAGGGTTAAATGGTGAATGCAAAAGAAGAAGATTGTTTTTTGAGGATTATAATACAGTTGTGAAGGTGAACTTAGAGTTGACCCATGACAGCTTTCTGAATTTTACACATGGATCACAGATGCTATCTGTTAGGTTTCCACTGAAATGTACTCACAACTTTTTGTACATAAACTGAATATTTGTTCCTGATAAGGTTCTGGTTGATAATTTGAGGTCATGCAGGGCGCTGTATTGTATTACAGTGATTTTCAACTTCAACGCAGATTTTCCTCCATATGTGATCAACCAACATAAATACACTAGTGCCATCAACAGGTGTGGGAGACGGAGAGTTGTCTTCCCATGTATATGATTGCATACATTACTAATCTTAGCCTGCCTGTCAATCTCTTGTGGTATATTTTTTAACTTTGATATAGTTAGTATTTAGAATTATATACAGGTATATTTTATTACCTTCTGATCATTTTTAGAATATATGACTGTAGAATAGATTTATTATGGTCTGGAAAAAAGTATGAAATAAAGGGGGAGGTGGGGGGTGGGGTGTGACCAAAGTATCTGTCCAACACTTTCCTCTCAGAAGGTAGGCAAGGCGGAAAAATGATCAAATTGCTACCTGGGTACTATCCTTAGTGGAACTGTTTACTTCCTTCTGAATATGGAAATAGAGCACCTATGGGATGTCTCCACTGTGGTATTGTTGGTTCTTAACAGCTTTATAGTTTTTAAAAAGTGTTGGGAAGATTACTAAACAGACAAGCAGGTGCTTCTTTGATGACGTCGGGTAACTAACAATTCTGTAAAACGCTACTAAAAAATGATTTACCATGAAAAAACCGGACAATTCTAGATTTCTGCATTTAGGGGCGACAGGTTTAAAGGGTGAATGTAGAAGAGGAAGAAAATTGTTTAGTGAAAATTAAAATAATTCAGTGCATCATTATCTGACAGACGGCATCTGTAATCATTTGTAAAATTCAGAAAGCTTTAGAGGGCAACATCTAGAGGTTCACCTTTAGAATGTTATTATAATTTTCAAAAAACAATCTTCTTCTGCTATTGTTTATCGAAAATTAGAATAACAATCTAAACATGAACTTCTGTCAGATATTGATGCACTGAAGTATGTTTACAACTATTTGTACATAAACTGTTGTTGTTGGTCTGGTGAATACAAAAATGTAGCCATTTTTGACCCCGCCAAAGACAGCTTTGGTAATAACTGTGGTCTGATTTTATTTGCGCCAAGTTCAATGGTTTAAATGGTTTGTTATGCAAGTAGTTGTGGCTTATTGTTCCTGTCTGTGAATGTTCTAATTTCTGAACATATGGTACATAAAACTGGGTATTTTTTCCTGATATTGTTCTGGTTGATATCCGAGGTCATGCAGGGCGCTGTATTGCATTACAGTGATTTTCAACTTCAACGCAGATTATCCCCATATATGATCAACCAACATAAATACACTAGTGCCATCAACAGGTGTGGGAGACGGAGAGTTGTCTTCCCATGTATATGATTGCATACATTACTAATCTTAGCTTGCCTGTCATTCTCTTGTATATTTTTCTCTTTCATGTTCTCAGAAGTTAGGCATTATGGACAGGTAGTCAAACTGATACAGGTACCATCAGGGATGGCATTCTTCTGTGCCTCTGAAGATGGGGATAGAAAACTTTTGGGATGTCCCTAGTATGGTGATAATGGTTCTTAACAGTCATAGAGTTTTTTAAGGTGTTGAGAAGACACTGAGTAGGCAGACGGGAAGTCATCGGCTTCGTTGATGACAGCGGGTCACTGAAAAAAATGAAAAATATTTTCCAATGACTAAATGTCTTAATTCTAGAAAAGGTAGATTTCTCCATAAAGATACCTGATCACTAAATACAAAGAGAGCAGAGAATTAACCGATTTCCTTGCCTTTACTATCTAAAAAAAATTGTTGCCACTTCTCCACAAAGAACAGTGTAGCGCATTATTTGACGTCACAATGTGTAGAAATCTATTTTTTTAAACCCCAGATAATGTCTAAACAAAATTTCGGGGGTAATTATAATAATACCCCACCCCCCTCCCATATCTGCACACTATACAGTAGCAACCAGTACAGAGCAAGCAGTACAGGCATAGTGACCACTGCCCAAACACATCATGCTATCAAAAACCCAGACAAGCCTAGATTTTTGGCATTTGCGGGGTTAGATGGTGAACGCAGAAGCAGATTGTTTGCTGAGGATTATAATAAAGTTCTGAAGAATAACTGTTGACCTGTAAAAGCTTTCTGAATTTTAGACATAGATTACAGATACTGTCTGTTAGGTAGCTATGCACTGAAGTGTGTTTTAGAACTATTTGTACATAAACTGAGTACTTGTTTATGATATTGTTCTGGTTGATAATCCGAGGTCATGCAGGGCGCTGTATTGTATTACAGTGATTTTCAACTTTAACGTAGATTATCCTCATGTGTGATCAACCAACATAAATACACTAGTGCCATCAACAGGTTTGGGAGACGGAGAGTTGTCTTCCCATGTATATGACTGCATACATTACTAATCTTGTGGTATATTTTTTAACTTTGATGTTGTTAGTATTTAGAATTATATACAGGTATATTTTATTACATTCTGATCATTTTTAGAATATATGTAGAATATTTAGAATACATTACTAATCTTAGCCTGCTTGTCATTGAGCCAGTATTTTTATGTCTGTATTTTGACTAGATGGCAGCAGATGTGGTAGTTCTTGCAAGATCATTTTCTTGAGCAAACTTTTTTTTAATGTGTTCATCTTGTTTTGGGGAATTTAGAATAGTGGATTTAATCATTTCTTTCTTCAACAGATGGCAATGCTCCAGTTCATTTCTAGTGGCCTTCCAAAAGTCGCTGTACCATCCACCATCCACTGTGATCACCTCATTGAAGCACAGGTAGGAGGTGAACAGGATCTAAAACGAGCTAAGGTAAGTGATACCTAAGATGATTAGCATATGCCGTTGTAGTATTAAATTTCTAGCTTAACAGGGTTTGTTAGTTCATTGAATATTTGTTGTTGCTTCTGTTATGGCTTTTTGTTAGTTCCCGACTGATACCTGGTAATTCTGGGCTCTGTATCCTGTTACAGTATATAGATTCCTTTTATAGTTTTTTTGTTTTTATTTGTTTAAATGTTACACTTCAAACTGATCATTTTTTTAAAATTGTTTAATTTTGATTGTTGTTTGTTCTCTTCACTGTTTTTAAACAAATTCTTCTTCTTCCACGTTCATTTGAAGATGTAAATGTGTTGTGCCTGTTTACAACATGGCTGCGATATGTGTGCCTATCAGACGACACATCTGACCTCTGTAGGCATTAGTTGCTGGGTAATTCATGACTCTGTATCCTATTACAAAGATTTTCAACCTCAACACAGATAACCCCTCTAATTGATCAATCATTATTAAAATATTAGTGCAGTTATCATGTGTGGAAGACTGACAGTTGTACTTCCATGTATATAACTGCAACACAAACATAGTTTTAAGAAAGGTATCTGGTCTGGTCTATTCCCTTGAAGGTCTGAAACCCTAAACATCTTTTAATGGGTGGTCCCTGTCAAATGAGTAGTTCTGGGCTCCCATTTTGGGGCAAAATGAGAATAGGCCCACTGTCCCTGTGTCATTAAAGTCAACTGATTATGGATGTTTTTCAAAGCTGAGGTGTGTGTGCCTTAGAGGCGAGGAACTAACGGTCTGCAGACAAATAAGTCAGATCTATAAACGGGTGTGTGCACAAAAAAGCTCTAGGACAAGACCAAAGTCCAGAAATGAAATGGGACAGATTACCAGAACTTTCTACTGGAGTTTACATCTGGTGTACGCTTTGAAAAAAAAAAAGTCTTCCCCAAGTGGGTTCAGAGGTCTATTTTCAGCTCGCAAGGAGCTATGTCGGGAGAATCTGAAGCATGACAAATAAGAGGATGTGAATCAGATGTAAAGAATCGGAAGGTAGCTTTATTATGACAAGGCACCTGGCCATAATATGTATTTTGTAGATATATGTTATTTGTAGGTAGTATCTCCCTTGAGCTCATTTGGGAGGGAGGGGGCATGAAATAATCAGCAGTTGATGTTGAAGGTATTGTTTTTAGAGTGCATTGCTTCCCTGTGTGGGTTCTGGGGCCCCATTGTGAGGAAGACAAAAATAGACCCACTGCCTCTCCAACAAGCATGTCGTAATTGGGGGCTTCCTTCGAAGTCGGAGTGCACCAGCCTGAGCGACAGGGAACAACTAACTGCACACAAATAAGTCAGTAAAACGGATGTACACACAATACTTAGGCCCCAGAAGAAAGCCAAAGTCCAAATGGATGAACAGCCAGGACTTTCCGCCTGTGAACAAAGAAGTAGTACAAGGGTTTATTGCTGGGGGAAAAAAGAAACAAAGTCAAATGTCTCATATTACTTTAGAAATTTAAAAAAATGAGAGTTATCTTTTTAAAGATGTTGATATATTCTGTGACCTTTAATGCAACATTTGTTATGTGTTTTTTGTCTGTGTGTATATTTAAATTGTTCTGGTTGAAAATTTGAGGTCATGCAGGGCGCTGTATTGTATTACTGTGATTTTCAACTTCAACGCAGATTATCCCCCATGTGTGATCAACCAATATAAATACACTAGTGCCATCAACAGGTGTGGGAGATGGAGAGTTGTCTTCCGATGTATATGATTGCATACATTACTAATCTTAGGGTGCCTGTCATTCTTATATGATGTACTTTTCACTTTTATGTCACATAGAATTGTATTTTTGTTTAATTGTGGGATTTTGATCACAATTTATGACAATGGAATATTTATAAAGCATCAGAAAAGAATCTAAATAAATCTTGGAGGTGTTTTGTTGCTATTTTATATTGCAATATCCCTTAAGTGGCTGTTTTGTTGATGAAAGTATCCTGTGCTCGTTACTTTGTACTTTGTAAATGTTTGGGTTTGTGTAATGAGGCTACTGTGCTTTAACTCTTTGGGTACCATGAAACACATCAAACATTAATTTATAAATAATTTCACTGTCCTCTGCTACTAAAAGAGTTGATCAGTTAGAAAATTGCAATGGTATGAAAATCATTAATGTTGAACACAGCAAGTATATTAAAACTGGTTTTTGTGAGGGAGTCTGTTGTCTAATGTGATAATTGTATTTGTAAATTGGAGGGAGCGTATTTGAATCACAGTGTGGCCATACTGTAACTTCCAGTTTTAATAATATCTAGTGCAATGATTCTCAAACTGGGTGTCGTGAGTGTATATCAGGGGTGCCGTGGCACCCTGGGATGTCGTGAGTGAATATCAGGGGTACCATGGCAATAATCAAGAAGTGTCTGCTTAAAATTGTGAAATTAGAAAAGAAGGCATGAAGATTCAAGTTGTCTTCCCTGGCCGCTGTCGAAAAGAGTTTATTTTGTGTTTCACATTTGTTTTTCCTTATATGGCATAACATGCTAATCGTTACATACTAAGAATTGTCCCTTATTTGCTGTTTGTAATATAATAATAACAAAATATCTTGACAATTTTTACAGGATCTTAATAAAGAAGTGTATGATTTTCTGGCAACAGCAAGTGCCAAGTATGGCGTAGGATTCTGGAAACCTGGCAGTGGAATTATCCATCAGGTAACAGGAAAATGTTTTACAACAGACAAATCAACCTTCCATTTTTTTCACTATTTTTCTTTTTCACTGCTCTATGTGTCAAGGTTTATAAGTGTCCCTGACTGCTTAAAAAAAAACAACCTATGTTGAGTTTAAGAAGGCTTTTGATAGTTTACACAGAACATCGCTGTCATCTTGGAATGTTATGGTGTACCAGTAAAAGTAATATAAACATTATTAAAGCAGTGTATTAGGGCTGAGATGTGTGTTGTACACAAATAATGGTTCAAATGATTTGCTTGCAGGAGGGAGATGGGTGCACATTGTCTCCATTGTTGTTCTGCGTAACTATTAATTGGGTAATGAAGAAATGCTTGGCACAAAATTCTGGCATCCACTGAGTAAACAACACAGTTGGAAGGTCTCAGTTGCAGATAATACAGTTCTCCTTAGTAAGAACAGCAAGGACATAGGGAAAAATGATTTAGCAAATGAATTATCAAAACTTTGACTTCAGATCAGATATGAAAAGACAAAATATCTTGGCATCATTAACAGATCAAGCAGAGGTCATACTGAAGACAAAATGAATTAAAGTAACAAATCAGTTTACATGTTGAGGTAGTAATTTTGATTGCCACAAAGAAAGAAATTATGTTATACATAAGCAAGGCAACAGCAGCTGTTTAAAGCGTTAAGAAATTATGGAACTACTATTTAGTTTTACACAGAAGTTGAAGAGCTACTAAAAAATAGGAAATGTCAGTTGAATGCAAATGCCCAAGAAAAATGATGAACATTAAATGGGATAACTTCCCATGTGGGTGCAACAACTTCCCGTGTGGATGCAGCAACTTCCCGTGTGGGTGCAGCAACTTCCCGTGTGGGTTCAGCAACTTCCTGTGTGGGTGTAGCGGTTTCCATTTTGGGGAGATACAAGGATAGGCCTACTGCCTCCTTAACATGTCATGGCAGTCACCTAATTATCAGTTTCCTTCGAAGTTGGAGTGCATCTGCCCGAGTGGCCAAGAATCAACAGTCCGCATACACATAAGCCAGATCGGTAAAATGGATGCGCACGCAAAACTCAAGTTCTGCAACAAGACTAAAGCTCAAAAGTTTCTGCACAACCAGAAATTCTGTCGGAGTTTAAAGGCTGTGAACGTGAAGAAGAAATGGGATAACAGCAAATTTTTTTTGATAAAAATTGTTCTTTAGCAATTTGAAAGTCATAAATGTTGGACTTTAGTTTGGTTAAAAGCCAGTTGTGCATAATTAATTTAATTTATTCATTCCCAGAACGTGACCAGATTTTGTTTGTACTGATTTCAAATTGCCCCAAATTTGATTCAGTTGTGCAAATTTGCTTTTGTTATGGCTTCATTATCATTGTTGGTGTTTGCCAGTAAATTTTTTCTCTAAACAGAAATTCATTAAATGCTATTTAAAAAAAAAATTATCATATCCTGTCCTTCTAAACACTGTGCGGCCATAAATAGAATCAAAGCTGTTACACAGGCCTAGTGCTGACTGGTTGGTGCCGTGATGCCGAAATATCCAGGCCTTCTCAGAACAAAAGGGTTAAAACCCTGTGGTTAAAAACTAGAGCTTTGTGAAGGATTGAACACATGTCCTATATTGTGTAAGATGAATATTATGACAGCTTGGCCACCTGCTCCGCTGACAGGGCAGTATATAGATACTTTAGTCAAATTTTTAAAATGCCCTCTACACCAATAAAACTAGCACAGTTAGATAGCTGTAAACAATCTCTTTCCAGTGGTACCTCATTTAGGCTTGTATGTCATTTCTGAGCTGAGATATGTAGGTTTTTGTGGAGATGAGATGTAAAAAACAGCTGTCGAAAACTTGCGTCCGTAAAACAAGAAGTTTTCTCTGCGCAACCAAACTGCGCACTTATCGTTTTGGCTTTGTTTGCATTGGACAAGATGGCAGACAATGAGACACAGCCACATAATAGCGACTGCCTGAAAAATGTCACTGTAAATCTAAAAAGCCACTGATAAGAAAGAAATTTTACATACGGAGAATTCAATTATAACCAGCATTACCAGTACGAGTAATGTTAAAGCCTAAAGCCAACCTTGAATACTTATCGCTATTTTTAATAAAACTGATGTAACAGAAAAACAGGACTTCCGGCTGTCGTAGACATGCGCTGTTAATCAGGTTAGTTCCTGCCGTTTTCAGCTATATATACTGGTGAAAACCACACCAATTGCAAAATTTCATGAGAGATTGGGACCCATCCGGAAGCCCCAGCCGACATTTTCCAAACAAGTTTCGAACGGTTTCCATGGTAACGGAAATTGCCAAAAGACCGCAAATTGCCGAACACTGTAGTCGCTACAGTACAGCATATTATACTATTTTTTTTTTTTTTTTTCAGATTGTTCTGGAAAATTATGGGTATCCCGGTGTTCTGCTTATTGGTACAGACAGTCACACACCCAATGGAGGTAAGCAGGCATCACTGACATTCTCTTCTTCCTCTTCTCCTTCCCCTCCCCTTGTTATCAATGTTTTAATTGGCATACAGTAGTTTCTCAGTATGGGTTTTGGGGGAGGGGGGTGGGGATAGACCCACTACCTCCCTAATAAGTATGTCACACAAGGTGACTAATTAGCCGAGTTCTTTCAGAGTAAAGAGTGCAGATGCCTGAGAGGCATGGAACCAACAGTCTGCACACAAATGAGCCAGATCTGTAAAATGCATGTGCATGTAAGTTAAAACTCAAGTTCTGGAACAAGACCAAAGTACAGAAATGAAAGAACAACGTTTACCACAGGTGTATGCTGAGAAGAAGAAGAAACAAAAAGAAGGCATACCATAGAATCTATGGAGAGATGACTGCCATCTTGCTTCTGGTGATACTGTGTTGGTTAGCATATACAGAATGTTGATGAAGGTTGAGTTGTAGTGTATATGATTGTTCTTTTTTGCTGTCTAAAGTGTTTAGGAATTAAGGTTATACATACCTGCCTGGTTTGTTAGATCTGTGTTTATCCTTGTTGCTTCTAAATTGACAGGTGGTTTAGGGGGTCTGTGCATTGGAGTTGGTGGAGCTGATGCTGTGGATGTGATGGCCAATATCCCTTGGGAGTTGAAATGTCCCAAAGTAAGGCATTTTAACTGTAGTATGCGTTTGTGTCTGTTCATGTATGTTTGTAAAGCTAAAAAAATTTAATACTAGTACTTTGAAGCCTGATCACACAGATGATAAAAACCCATTGTTTTGAGTTGATCAACCAGATTGTAAGTCAAATTTTTTTTTGGGGGGGAGGGGGGTGGGGGGGGGGGCACTATTTCCATTTAAATGGGTTATAGTATTTAACATGTTAAATCAAGAATCGACATCACAGCACTCGGAGCACTCCCATAAGCGCTCCATCCCCATCTTCAGCAGCAAGCGAGGAGTTAAAATACTGGTGGTACCAGTAACAGTCTGATTGTATATCACCCCCCCCCCCCCCCCGAGTGTCGAGCGTTGACCAGATCCCCTTGTAACTCCTCGCAGCGCTATTCTCCTCAGACCGTATTGATCTATCTGTTCCTCGGCACTGTTCACTCGCTCCCAAAGGGCCCCCACAATATCCAGCTTGTCATATATCAGTTCACCACCAAATGGTGCAGAATCGGCCAGTCTATCCGCCTGCTTATTTTCCAACACACTGGCTTACCCTGGAGAAAATATCCCAAGGGTGCTAACTACCCTCTGAAGATATGCTTGCCACTCTGCACGAAGCATGCATGTCTTCACCTTTCTCAGCAGGCTCTGTGAGTCAGTTACAATGACGGCATGTGTGTACAGCTGATTCTCAGGCCAACGGAAGGCAGCAGTGACTGCCTCCACCTCCATTCTCAAACTAGATGTTGTGATATCATATGCCAGCCTTTGTTGCGCCAAGCGACGTACATTTGCCTTCGCTATGAACCCCCATGCACTTCTTCTGCCCCTCACCACAGAGCCATCTGTATATACAATCACATCACTTGGGCAGGAATTGTCATGAATCATTTGTTGAACTTCTGATTCTGCAGCACCAGCTTGCCAGTCCCTGCACTTATGTCCCAAAGTGATTAGAACCCTTCACAAGTCTGAAACATGATCGGACACTTTGACCCACTCCTCTCCTCGCCTAAATTGATCAAGCCTGCACACATGTCTTCAGCTTGCGCCATCCAAGACTTTCCTCTTTTCAGTCTGTGACCCTTAGCTCTATCTAGGGCTTCATGCAGGAGGAGTAATTAACATCAAACACAACTATTCAATCTATCTATGTTGCTGCGCTCTAACAGTTCCAGAATTATATTTTTTAACCCTCCCTGTATAGTTACTTTCTTTATTTACTTATTTTATTGCGTGAGGCCATTATTGCGGATGGTCATAAGTCGTTTAGATTATAAGTCGAGGAGAAGATGTATTAGGGCTCATACTTGTCAAATCTAGTTGCACCTCTCTGTGGTCGTCCAAGAAACCAGTTCCCTACCCGGGACCTGGCAACATAGGTAAGATTGACATTTCTGTTAGAGGCAATGTGCATGTGTCAGACAAGTGAAGAACCAACAGTCTGCACAAAAATAAGCCAAATCTGTAATTTGGAGTACTCAAAAACAAAGTCCCAGAACAAAACTCAAGTCCTGAAATGGGTAAAGAATCAGGACATTAAGCTTTTTAAGTTTTCTGCCAGTGATTGGAAAGAAAATGAAGAAGAATGTTTAATGAACAATTTCTTTGGCATGGCACAAGTACAATTCTATTCCTAATGTCTCTACCTCCAGGTGATTGGTGTCAAACTCACAGGAGAACTCTCTGGATGGACCTCACCTAAAGATGTAATCCTGAAAGTGGCAGGTATCCTCACCGTCAAAGGAGGTACTGGCGCAATTGTTGAGTACTTTGGGCCCGGCGTGGACTCCATTTCTTGCACAGGTTGGTTTAGAAACTGTTTAGTTTGTATTCATTGGTGGTATTTGCATTTTACTAAATCTTGTAACTGCTTGTGTTGGTCTGACTGATATTGTATTGCTTCAGTTGGATGTGACCATTAATTGATTGATTGGCACCCTTCTGCCTTTCTAGATGATAGTGTTATTTTGTGCTTTGAGGAGACATGGGGCTCACAGCCCATGGTGATAGCGAGTGTGACTAGCAAGACCTGCCCACGTTAAGAAAAGTCTTCCACTATTATAACACAGGATTTCAGGACCGTTGTTGTCAACATTTGTGTTTAGTGCGTTTCTTCTCAGAAGCTCAGCTCTAATCCTTTATGCAATCGTTTCTTCCTTCATTCTCATTTCCTTTCTGATGTGCCCCCTCCACACAACACTGTCCATGGCATTTTGTTCCCACAAGTCCACATCATTACCTGTATCATTCATGTTCCACTTGCACACGTCTGTATATTGTAGTAGAGGTCGACCTCGACATCTTCTACCCGTTTTAATTAACCATAAAGGATGTCCTTGGAGACTCTGCCATCCTCCATTTTCCAGGCGTGACCCAGCCACTTGAGCCTTTGTAGACTAAGCATTGAGAAGACAGTGTGACAATTGATGCAATATTGATTATGGTCCAATCTTGATCTTATGGTCCAATATTGATGATAGATCATGACTGGGAAGTGTTTACTATATAATTTCCTTCTTCTTTGTTGGTCCACTAGTTTTGTTTTGGACATACTTGCATTGTGTCCAGACAGTGGTTCTTCTGCTGTCATTGAATCCATTCCAGGGTGAGATATCTATCTGTACCATGTCTGGCAAATTTTCACATCTCAACTTCTCATGAAGCAGATTTTCTCAAGCATGTAATTGTGTTTTGGCTTGCAATGTTCATATAATCACTGCACCCAGATCAGTGTTTAAATACTTGTATATATTCTGTAAAAAAAAAAAAAAAAAAAAAAAAATAAAAAAAAAAAAAAAAAAAAAACTTGTTTCTGTGGCTGGGTTGTTTTACAGGTTGGGGCAGCTGGTCACTTGCCCAACCTTCCTCCTTGGCCATTCAGTTTTTTGACTGAAAGTGGTCACATGCCAGAATGCATTTCAGTGTCAAACAGCTGAAGATATATGACACCAGCACATTCTTGAAAGTTAATTTTTCCTTTAACTTCTTTTCCCCCTCCCAGGCATGGGCACAATTTGCAATATGGGTGCTGAGATTGGTGCAACAACTTCAGTTTTCCCCTACAACCACAGAATGCAGGACTATCTCAAGGCAACAAGCAGAGAAGGTAAGAATAGCTAAGGAAGCTGATTGAGAAAGCAGTTTTGAATTTAAAAATATATATATTAAACTTCGAAATTAATCCACTACCAGACTTGGTTAATGGCGTAAGTTGTAATATGTATTCTTTGGGAACATCTTTAGGAGGAGAAAACTGGATTGCATCATAACAACAGGAAAATTAAACGCTAACGGAATTGATTAATATAATTAATTGTAATATCTGCATTCTTTGGGAACATCTTGAGAACGAGAAAACTGGATTGCCTCGTAACAACAAGAAAATTCAAAGGGGAAGGGGGTGGCTGAGGTAAAAAGATTATACCAGAGATATTGTTTTTAATGAATGCATTGTTCTTTATTTCTTGCTGCATTAATTATAGTTGTATTATTCTTGATTCACCCGACGTGTTTGTAAGTTTCATATATTATTTTTCCATTAATCTGGGCAATATTATTTTATTAGTCGTTTCGCAATGTCTTGGTGTCAGGTTCGATCCCAGCTGCAGATATTTTGTCTTGTGTTGGTTTCGACAGTGGAACCGAGACCTGACCTTTCAGAAAGCAGTGGCAAACTACTGAACGTTAAAATAAAAATGCCCTTAAAAAAAACGGCCAAAAAATGCTGGGGTTGGTTCTGCACCGTTCCTGTAAAGGGTACACAGCTAGCAAAAGAGTCAACATTTTTAACCCATCAATCACATTCAGTCATTGACACTGTCATACCTCACCCTGATACCAAAAATAGACAGTAAACTTTCCAGATTTTAAAATTATTCCAGGGGACAGTAGAGAAAATTAAATGCTGCTACATACTCACTATTATGAAACTTTGGGAGCAAACTTAAAAAAAATATTCTTAGTGTGAATCAGCAGACGGGGTAACAACCACTAGTTACAGTTATAAGACAGAGAAGGTGGCAGTAAATTGGACATATCCTGAGAAGAAACCAGCAGAGAATCACCAAACAGGCATTAAAATGGGAAATGAACGGATTGACTAAGTGAGGATGTCAAAAAGAAATCCTGCAATGAACATTGATGAGAGAGGCTAAAGGTGCTGGATTGGGTACCATCCATGATATTGAAGTGATTGCACAAGAATAGAACAGAATGAAGGAATAGACTGCGAGCCTTGTGTGACATGCGGCGCCCGAGGCTTAGATGTACCGCGATCAAAACCCAGTGTTAGCTGCATGGATTTTTATCATGGTGTGGGGCATCGCAGGTCTACCCCTAAAATGGGTACCAGGATGTATGTCTCCGAGGAAGTTAAAACGGCCGGCGTTATGCTGACCAAATTACCTACCAAGTGCTGATTGGTCTGTAAATATATGGGTGCGCTTCCCATATGCCCGATGTGCCTTAAACTTGTGTGACATAAAATAGCAAAGCAGAGCAATGAATGAATAAATTAATTTTAACCCCATGGCTTATTGCTCAATATTTCTGTAATGTCATTATTTTTCACAGCAGTACAATCTCTCGGAGTTAACATCTTCTAGCCAATGGAAATTCTGTAAAAACTGTGCCGTAAAGTAAATGTTGGGCTCTTGTTCTCCCCAGGCATTGCGTCACTGGCCAACTCATACAAGGACCTCTTGTCATCAGATGCTAATGCTGAGTACGATCAGGTCATTGAGATTAATCTGAGCCAGGTAACCATGGACTTTTCCCCTCTTGTGTGTTTACCTCGTAGCAGTACTGTTTTGATGATGTTGAATTTCATTGTTGTTTACTTATGTTTTTGACACTTTTGGTCCCAGCACGGTGTGGTCAGCTGTTGCCATGTGTAGCAAGTACTGTGGGGTGGGTTAATATTAAATAGGCTGTGACAAGTTGTATAGTCCATTTCAGATGTCAGGCCAACTTTAAAAATCTGTAACACAATAATCTTTTGCTGTAGGTTGTTGAAATGTGGGGGTGGGGAACAGATCCTTTTCCACACCTCATGTTGGTTATGGCTAGATAGTTGTGCATATTTAGCAGGATGTTGCAGAACCAACCACATTTTCTGGCTGTTGGGTTACTAGGTAAATTTACAATCAGTAGTTTGCCATTGCTTTCTGAATTCTCTGCTGTCAATACCATTGTCGAAATAAATACAGATTAATCCAGCTGTCAAATCGTCTGCAGCTGGAATTGAACTGTGGGGACCTCGGATTTACAAAGTGTAAGCATCTATGAAAGCATCATGACTTTTAAACTGCTTGGTAAATGGGATTTAGTATCTGAATAGTATAAAATAAATATTTCATTAAAACTTACATTTCTAAATAAAATTAACATCTATAAGTAAATTGTAAAAATATAGAATCATCACAACTGTAAAAATTGATCTAGACTTGGCACGCTTATAAGATCATTGGAATATTCAGTTTTTAGAAAGAAAAACATGTGAGCATTGACACAGTTTAGCAAAATTATGTGTTTCTTTGCATATTATTTATTTTAGTGCAGTAAATGAGACCTGTAAATGTGCATATTTAACCTGAATTCATCTATGAAGATAGACACCGTGTGCTTTCTGTTGTTCCTCTTAGCATTGTTGGAGCTGAAAGAATATATGCAAGTAAATTGAGGGTGTTTACTTTTTTGGTTTGCTTATTGGCTGTGGTTCATACACAATCATTGTCAGTGGTCTGTATTGTAGACTTTTGCTAACTTTTTGGGAGCCCTGTAGTTTTTCTAAACCGGTATCACTGTCCATTGCAAATCTCCCGGAAATGCCACTAGACCAGCACAGCTGCAGTGACTTGTCCCAGAAAAACCTAATTAATGGCAATGGTTCTGTTTGTACCTGTACAGTGTTTAGGAGGTCCTGGATGTGAATATATTTACTAAAAACTGCAGGGGGGGGGGGAAGACTTTTTTTAAGGTCTTTATGGGGTCATAATTAATCTCGACTTTGTAGTTGCACAGCGATGAGATCGGGTCGAGTATGAGTCACCATAGGGTGCAGGAACCCGCACAGGAACTGTCACAGTTACCATATAGTCTTAAATGTTACACCCCTATATCATATGTGTTGTGGGATAACCATTTAATTTGTACAGAATTTGATTTGAGTATTTTCTTTTAGTTTATAAGTGTTTAACCCTTTGTGGGGTTAGACTTTGTGTATTTGATATCAAAAGGTTCTATGTATTAGAGGGTTATATCTATAAACAGTACTCTAGCTAATCTACCTGCTCTGCAGCAAGGGTGGTCCTAAAGTAAAATGCTTTTGTTGGGATATGAAGTTGTTCTTTTTTTAGCCTTCTTCATCATCATCAACCTGTAACATTTTGTGTCTTTGTGTCACCAGTTTCTGTTGACTGTCTGATCAGCTCTCTCCACCTTTGGCGGTCATTTGCGATGGACTTCATGGTTGCATGCCTGAGGCCTGTCCAGTCAGTCAGGTTCTGCAACCAGGTCTTTCTTGGTCTGCCTCTTCTCCTCTTTCCCTCTACTGAGCCCTGCAATATTGTTTTTGAGAGTCCGTTAGATCTTATTGCATGTCCACACCAATGCATTTTTTTTTACCTTTTCACTGCAGTTAAAAGAGATTTATAGTTGCCAATGTGCTGGATAATTTGATGACCAACCTCTTCGTTTGTAATGTGGTCTCTGTATGATATGCCAAGAATGTTTCTGAAACATTCCATTTCTAATGATTGTATCTTTCTTTCAAGTTCAGCTGTTAAGGTCCACTTTTAGCCTTCACTAGCTGTAAATTCTAGTGGACAGTTGTGCTCGTTCATTTTGTTCTGGACTTTGGCCTTGTTTCAGGACTTGAATGTTGTTGCGTTTACATCTGTTTTACAGATCTGACTTTTTATGTGTGCAGACTATTGATTCCAAGCCTCTCAGGCAGATGTAGTCTGACTTGGAAGGAAATGTCTATCCTATTTGTGTTGGCTGGCCCCTCTTCCCCTTCCCAATAGAGAACGTGTTTCTAGGATGATCTTGAAGTGATGTATTGATAGATCTTGATCAGTTTTTCTTCTTCTTTCATTCGCTTGGAATAGATTACCTATATCTGCAGTGTTGTGTCTAGTATGAACTGCACTGTCTGTTGTAACTCAATTAGCAAACCGTAAAGTTTGGCCTGCACCGGTGTTTCTCTTGACCAAAAGGATGTGATCTGTTGTCTCATTATCAGTATGAGCACTAGTCTTGGTGCACCACTGCATGTGGTTCAGCACTGAGCCTCAGTCAAACCCCCAGTGCTATAAAAGTTGGCTGTGTATCCTTTACAGCAGTGTTCTTCAACCTTTTGACACATGCAGACTAGCAAAACAGGGAGGATTATGTCACACACCACCTAAAGTGTAGGGTACAAGGCCTCGCTTTCTATGCAGCAGTGTTGTGCCAGAATCATTTAGCTGCTACACATTTTTGGTTGCCCACCAAAATATTTTTACGGCCCACCACTGGCCCGTAGACCACGGGTTGAAGAACACTGCTCTAGAGGATGTTACAGAACAAACTCCAGCATGTTTTGGCTATTTGTGTTTTTACTAGGCAGTTTTATGTTCAGTAGTTTGCCATTGCTATCTGAATGATTGGTTCTTAATACCATTATTGAAATAAATGCAAAGTGTTCTGCTTCCAAATCACCTAAACCTGGAATCAAATTCAGTATCTCAAAATTACAAGCCACATTTGCAGTTCCTGAGCCACAGAAGTTGATTCCCTAGAGCCATAGTAGATAGAAAATAAAATCTTGACTGTTGGGGATGGACGCTAGACCACTGTATTAGCAGACGAGCAGTCCGTTAGTATGGTTCTCTCTTATAATAAGCAGGTTGGCTCCTTGCAATATTGTTGTATCCTATCTATTTAATAAAAGAAAAGATTGGGATAGCAGGCCCTATAAGGTAAAAATGAAACAGACCCACTGCCTTTCTAACACACATGTCATACAACGCTGTTAATTATGCTGTGTTGTTGAAATCAGATGTGTTGACCCAAATGGTACAGCTATCTCAGCCTAGCTGTGACCCTTAGTCACCAGACAAACATTTCTGCAGTCATCAGGGTTTACTATGCACACTACTCAGGCATGAGAGTTTTTTTTTTTTGGGGTCTTCAATTCAAATACCTGCGATTAGTTTTACATGATATTTCAAATAAACATCCAGCAGTTATTTCATCACAGCTTCACTGAAGTGACATTGTATGCTGCCAGTTGTAGCAATGGAGAAATCTAATACAAGCCCTATGCGATGTCTAACGGCACATGAAATATGATGATGAATTGTAACACATGTTTGAAAAAAAAAAAAAATTGAGGAGATGACCTGAGCTTTAAAATAAAAGTTAGTCATATTCGTGCGTCGGCTCTGTGGCTAAGCCGATGCGAACGCTTCGTAATGCCGAGTTTGATCCCAGCTGCGGGCCATGCGTTGGTTTCGACAGTGGTGTCAAGAAAGCCGACCGTCCAGAAAGCAATGGCTAACTACTGGATGTAAATTTGCCTAGAAAAACCACACAACAGCCAGGGGCTGTTGGGGTTGGTTCTGCAATGTCCTGTAAAGGATACGCAACTAACCTAACCATATTCGTGCGAGGAAATACAACAACCAGACACTCTGGGAGTACAAGTTACTGCATAAGCATTTGTGGTGCGTCTGTATAACTGTGCAGCGTATCTCTAAGGTTGAACAGGGTTTTCAGGGATTTGTATCCGTTTGATTTTCATGAGATTATAATCCTGCAGACTGCAGTCCATTTTCATGCATTTTAAAAATTATATATTGTGGTATCTGTGGCTTAGGCTTTGCAAACACGCTTGGTGGTGCCGGGTTTGATCCCAGATGCGGGCTTTGCGTTGGTTTCGACAGTGGTATCAAGAAGCCGACCATCCAGAAAGCAATGGCAAACTACTGGATGTAAGCTTGCCTAGGAAAACAAAAATGCTGGGGTTGGTTCTGCAGCGTCCTGTAATGGATATGCAACTAACTTATGTTGTTTCAGTTATTTTCAGTTGCAGACTTATTATTTCTATTTTTCCTCTCACTTTGCAGCCCTTGATTTGTTCCCTAAAATAAATCAGTGCTACGTTATAATACAAGTGTAATGTTACAGATTGTTTAAAAAAAAAAAAGAAATGCCTTAGAAAATACAACACAAAGATGGAAACTTGTATTATTGTGCTTTGACATAACTCAGTGACACTTCCATGTTTATGTTTGTTGTTGGTGGACACTAGAAAATTAAGACTGGGCATGAAATTCAACAAGGCTGGGGAACTGGAAAATCGTTGAGAATTTTTCATGTCATTAATGCATGTACCAAATATTTTTAGTGTCATTACAGAAAGGAACACATATTGTTAGTGTTTTGTTAGTGTTAGGGAACACAGCTGGCATGTGTCATTCATGCTATTGCTGTCCTTAATACATGGACATATACTGTTAGTGTATGTATGGACCACATATTTTTAGTGGTATTAATGTATGGAGCACTTCCTATTAGTGTCATTAATGTAATGGCCAGATATTTTTAGGGTCAATAAAGTACACATCACATATACTGTAATGTTATTTATGTGTGGAGTACTGTTAGTGTCATTTGTGCATAAGGTAGTTGCTGGTGATGTCATTCAAGTTTGAAATAAGTTACAACCTTTCAGTTTCTTTAGTATGTAAACCGCATGTGTGAGTGTAATATTGGTGTATGGATGATATACTGTAAGTGTCATTTATGTATGGAGTACAAGCTGTGAGTGTAATTAATATATGAATCACATGTAGGGGTGAAATATTGATGTATGGATGTATGGATCTTAGGCTGTTGGTGTCATTCGCGTATAGAATTCATGCTGTAAGTTTTTTCAGTAAATGAACCGCATGTGGGAGTGACACAGTGTTGTATGGATGGTGTGATGGTGGTGTTGATGGATGGTGGGATGTTGGTATCATTCGTGTAGGAACACATTTCCATTAACTCTTTAAGTCCCAAGGATTGCATCATAGGTTCCTACCTAGAAGCCTAATGAACGCATGATGCGCCAATTTTTTGACACTGTTTACTACACCTGGGGCCTGTGATGCTAAACCCCCTGGGACTCAAAGAGTTAACTGAAGTGGTGGTGTAGGGATAATGTAATGTTGGTGTCATTAGAGTAGGAACACTCTTCCATTAACTGATCTGGTGGTGTATGGATGATGTGATGTTGGTGTCATTTGTGTAGGCACACCTTTCCATTAACATGTTAATATTGATTTGATTCTTTCAGCTGGAGCCTCATGTGAATGGTCCCTTCACCCCTGATCTTGCCCATCCAATCAGCCAATTGGGTAAGACAGCCAAAGAAAAAGGTTGGCCACTCGACATCAGAGTAGGTGGGTATTATTTATGGGTCTCTCAGTTTAGTATCTGTATCCTCGTGTGGGTTCTGGGTTAAGTTTGGGGGGGGGGGGGCGCGACCCACTGCCTCCTAATAAGATGTCGTCTTCTTCAACTAATTAGGGATGTTTCTTTCAGTCGGAATTTTGATGGGGAGGCATCAGAAAAACTCAGTGAAGGGATAAGTCCCTTAGTGCTACAAACTGCTGGGTTAACTGGAGGTTGGCCAGTGATATTTTGACTGGGTAGCAGACAGTGGTCTGGTTCTTTCTTCCCTTGTGGTGCATCTGCCTTTGCTCCTCAGGTGGTGGGGTCTCTTGGTTAGAGAGCCATCAGAGGATTGTCACTGCACATAACATAGGTGTATCTGTGTGATCGGTCATGAGTCACCCATAGCAGCCACCTGGATATAGTTCACCAGGGTGTTTCATCCATGTTCTGGAGACTGCCGGTGGGAGCGTATTTGGCAAGCAATTTAATACTGGACCACCAATTCGTCGTTGCAGTGTGTTTGTCCATAATAAAGACTGATTGCACAGTCACATGATACTTAGACTGGTGCATTATATGACAGCGTTCTTAGGCAGGACATGTAAGGTTAGGATAGTACATTTAACATTAGGATAGGAAATGTAATCTGTGCAAATATATTGTGGCTGTTATAATTTCACATGTGCCTGGCTTATTATGGTGTTCCTGTTTGGATTGACCCTCCTTTACTCCAGTAATAATCACCATCAGCATGTACGTGCCAAAGAGAGTGGGCAGCCGTGGTTCGTTGTCTGGGAAACTTTGTGTGTGCAGGACTAACATATATAAATAATCCCCTAAATACTTGGCGAGTTCAGGATTCCTTTCCCCCTGATTACATATGTCAGGAAGGCAGTGGGTCTGTTCTTGTTTCCCCCATAATGGAGCCCTGGAATCCACACAGGGATAGCAGTTGTTATTAACCAGTGCCTTCTATTCAACAGGTCTCATTGGCAGCTGCACAAACAGCAGCTATGAAGACATGGGCCGCTCCGTCAGCATAGCCAAGCAAGCACTGAGCAGAGGGGTTAAAGCCAAATCTGCCTTTACAATTACTCCAGGCTCTGAGCAGATTAGAGCCACAATAGAGAGGGATGGCATGGTAAGGACACATTGGAGTTTTGCTGTTTCGTTTTAAATCTTTCGGGCAAGGGTTTTTCAGCAGGTGTTTATTTTCTCACTTTCTTAGTTTTCATATACTGTAAAATTAAGGCTTGAAAGATAAGGTGCCTGATGAAAGCTGCCAACTTAACCATTCAAGGCCGAGTGAAAAGTGGTATCAGACAGACTGTGGGACCAATGCATTGCACCAGATTCAATGAGAAGCAGAAGATAAGATAATTTAGTTGTCTCCTTAGAAAGCAGCCACAACAACTCCCAGCACAGGCGCTACACCTAGAAAGATCTGATGTGAAAGCAAAGGGACGCCCAAGTAGAACATGGAATGACAATAGCCAGTAGTACCCATCGAGTTTTCGACTCTGAACATGGAATGACAATTGCCAGTATTACCCATTGAGTTTTCGACTCTGAACTGTTACTGACAAGAATACTTGGTTATGGAGATGACACTGATATCATTGGAGAAAATGAACTACAGATGGTTGAAAACATTTGACTTAAAAGAAGCAACTCACAAAATGGGACTAGTTGTCAATCAAGATAAGACAGAATACATAATAATAACATGGCAGGGGGAGGATATAAACACCGGCCACATACATGTCAATAATGTGAAAATCAAACAAATGGAAACATATAAATACTTAAGTGCAAACTTCAATTGCCCAAACATGCTGAGAGAAGAATTGCAATCTGGAAATAAAGAATACTATGCCCTTTAACATCTGCTAAAGTCAAAGTCTCTGTCTCACAACACCAAGATTAAAATATATAAAACACTGATAAGACCAGGTGTTTTATATGGCTCTGAAGCTTGGAACACAACTAAAAGAGATGCAGCCTTATTACACGTTTTTGAAAACAGTATTACAACAAATCATTGGACCAATCAAACATGCAGACAGCAGGGAATAGAGAGTGAGAAGCAACAACGAAGTTTATAATCTGTTTAGCCATTGTTCCCTCAAATTGTGAGAGCTAATAGACTTAAATGCTGGGCATATTGAGAGAATGTCAGAGGACAGAGAGGTAAAAACTGTAGACACAAAGGGAGCCGAATGGTCGTAGACCACAAGGAAGATGGAGAGATAATGTCCAAACACGCCTGCAAACACTTGGTGTCACCAACTGGAAAGAGAAGGCCAACCAAAGAGATGAATGGAGGCGGGTGATTTCTGCAACAGTGAATCTCAAGGGATCGGAATAATAAAGAAGAAGAAGAAATTGTTACTGACAGTGTGATTAATTTGTTTCACGAAAATGATTCATTTTTATGCTCCAGTATATGTTGATTTAATCCTGTTGGTAGATAGGTAAGTTGTACCCCACCAGGACATCACACAAGCGATAAACAACCGGTGACACAAACTGCAGATGAGGATCACCTGTGGAGAGGTCCCAGAAACCCTGTTTAGCCTTTAGGCCATATTTACGGCCCGGCTATATTCAGGGCCACAGGCAAAAGCCGAGGTGGGGCTTCAAAATAACACACACACAAATTGCATCCCACAAGGGGACATATGTAATGTTAACCCTGTAGTAATGCATTTTACGTGATACAGCAAACAATGCCAGGCAGTAAGTTGTGCTGTGTATTGATTGTGTCAGCATTATTTATCATTACAATGGAAAAACATTGTTTTGGACATGTGAAGTAGGTCAAATGTCCTAGGCTGACATTGTTTCTCTTCTGCCAGGCACAAGTTCTGAGAGACATTGGTGGTGTTGTCCTTGCCAATGCTTGTGGGCCTTGTATAGGACAATGGGACAGAAAGGATGTGAAGAAGGGGGAGAAAAACACCATTGTCTCATCCTACAACCGAAACTTCACCGGCCGAAATGATGCTAACCCGGCAACCCATGCTTTTGTGACATCACCAGAGTTAGTCACTGCGCTGGCCATTGCTGGAGATCTGGCCTTTAACCCTCTCGTTGATGAGCTGACTGGGAAAGATGGTGAGTTTTTTGCTTTAATTAGACTTCACCTTCACTTTCTGTTTCCTTGTTTTACTCGTCTTTATGCCGTCTATCGTTTCATTCTTATTGTCTTCCGATTTCTGCAGATTCAATTTTTTTTAAAAACTTTTCTTCTTCTTCTTCTCCTCCTTAGTTTTCTTCTTCTTCTTCTTCTTCTTCTTCTTCATGTTCACCGGCTGTAAACTCTGGTGGAAAGTTCTAGTTATTCATCCATCTCTGGGCAATAGTGTTGTTCCAGAACCTGAGTGTTGCTTGCACATCCATTTTATAGATCTAACTTCTTTGTATGCAGAGGAATGGTTTCTTGTCTGTCAGGCAGATGCACCCAACTTTCGAAAGAAGTTTCCAGTTTCTCTTCTCATACAGCATTCTTGTTGCGGAGGCAATGGGACTATTCTTGTTTTCCCTACAATGGGGCACCAAAACTCATTAAAGGAGTTTTAGCTTTTGATTCTTTCTTTCATCAACAGTGAAAGCTTTTGATTGTTTTCTTAATCAGAACGGAAAGTTCTTCATTGGTCTTTTTAAAAATGACTAATGTGCTGTTTACCATTTTATATACTTCTTTGCATTTTTTTTTTTTCCTGGAAGGCTGACCGGTCAGCAGATGCCCAAAAGGTAAGATGCCACATAAATGGGCACAGCACTATTACATCCAAAACAAAAACCATATCATTTTGTTTATTTATGTTTGAATAAACAAACAAACATAATCGATATCAGATGTATATAGGCAAAGTATTTTTTTTTTTGTTCTTCTGAAATATTTTCTATTTACATGTCATTACATATAAAATATTTTAGGCAAGAAATTCAAGCTGCAGAGCCCTACGGGGGATGAACTTCCCAGAAATGGGTTCGACCCCGGCCAGGACACCTACCAGGCACCACCCAAAGACAGCAGCGCTGTTAAAGTAGTTGTTGCCCCAGACAGCAAGCGCCTGCAGCTCTTGTCTCCCTTCGACAAATGGAACGGGAAAGACCTGGAGGATCTGCTTGTCCTTATTAAGGTAATCTTAACTCATTGAGCACCCAAGCAGCAAACTAGGGTTTTGTTGGTTTCGACTTACATGATCAAATTTTCTTTTAACTCCTTGTGATCCTTTCAGCTGCTAAAATTCTTTAATTTTTCGTGGATGGGAAATGAATAGGCAGAAAGATTGGCTGGTTCTGCGCCAGCGGGTGATGAATTTATGGATGACAGGATAGACGTGGTCAAGGACCTTTGGGAGCAAGTGAACGGTGTGGAGGCACGAATAGATAATTATGGTCTAGATAGAATGGTACAGCTAGGAGTGAACCAGGGGATCTGGTCAACTCTCTACACTTGGAGGAAAGACAAGATGGACATATAACCAAACTGCTACTGGCACCTTTGGAATTGGAACCCTTTTCTGGCTGCTGAAGATGAGGACATAGCACCTGTGTGAATGTCCCTGGTGTATTATATCAGTTCTTAGCTTAACATTTAATGCTCAGCTGTTAAACTCGCCCCAGACTGCCTCACTTTTCACTTCAACTCCTTCTGTCTTGTGAGTTATAGCATAGATTAGCTCCTCAGATGCAAAAATAGATTAGCATCCTCAGATGCAAGCATTTATATTCTTAGTATAGATTGAGTTTAAATAATACCTGTTTGGTACTGAAAGAATTAGGTCAGGAAGTTGCCTTGTTTTAGGGGGTTTTCAACTTAGCTTTGTTTGCAGTTGTGACAAGCCAGTGTGAACATTTCAGATGGGGACATTTTGTAATCTTCACTTATGAGAGTAGGAATTGAATTTTAGAGACATTTGACTGTGTTTAAACTGTTGGGTCAAGCAAAAGTAAACATTTCGGGTAGGGACATTTTATGATCTTCTGCTTTATGAGTAAGACATGCATTTGAAAGGTGAGGAGATTGACTTCATTGCACTGGGATCGTTCTGGTTCTGTCTGTCTGTCTGTCTGTCTGTCTCTCTCTCTCTCTCTCTCTCTCTCTCTCTCTCTCTCTCTCTCTCTCTCTCTCTCTCTCTCTATATATATATATATATATATATATATATATATATATATATATATATATATATATGTATATATATATATAAAACACATGGATGTACACT